TACGCCATATTTATTACAAGAAAACAGACCATTGGGATCTTCGGTTGTGCCACGCTCCTTGTCGTAGCTAGCAGCGACGTCGAGGAACTGCTGGCCTATGTTTGTGAATACTCCACCGTATGAGACTTTGAGTGGGCCTGAATATCCGTGGGTTGGTTGCATTGATTTTACTTGATAAGTTTCTGTCTGTCGACATTTTGAGAACAGGAAACAATGCCGATTCAGTTTGTACCTTTTCAAGGAGAGGGATAAGGTCCTTTGATCCCCAGCCTGAGTTTCCATAGACCGTCTCCCAATCATCATAATCTGAGGCTGATGCGCGCGTATACATCAGAACTGACGAAAGCAAGTTCAATGGTCCGCCATGCCAGAACGAAATTCGACCAACAGTTGATGCTGCTGCCGCCGCCTACACATCGAGCTGACGGAGTGATAAGAGGCCTGCCTCCGAGATTCTGACTTGGTTCAGAGACATTAAATGTGACTGTCGTGCTGGTTGGGGCAAGGTGACTGAGATAGCGTGCGGGCTGAATGTGAGCAGCCAGTCCGCGAGTATGTTCGCCTGCTTCCAAGATCTAACAATATCGTTTATATGCCTGCATATTTGATCATGGGGCGTCCTCGTACAAGAATACGCAACGACGGGTCGGCCGATGCGAGACGGCCAGCAATAAGACTGCCAGTGGTACCGGCTAAGAATACGACGATAAATAAGAGCAGAAACGCGTAAGCGAGACTCACCTCCAGCAAAAATGATATCAAATGACATGATGGTGGGCGATCCTTGATATCATTCTTGCACCTGGGGATTAAATATGCTGGAGACCTTCGATTCACACGTTGCTGGAATCTCAGAGTCGGGGGCCGTTTGTTGAAAGGATTACAAACGCCCAGTCCGAGAGTGTTATCATCTGTTCAACAATGTCATGGGAGCCCTTCGTTCACCGACGATTTATAAACATCCAGTCCGAGCAGGTCCGAGATGTGTAACAATCAGTGGCAAGAACATAGATACGTTAGTTTCGGGCCCCGGTGGATGTAGGTAGGTCGATCAGTGGGCTCACCATCCCGGATGCGGAAACAAGGATGTCGTCGAGGAAGTGTCGAGGAAAACATTGGCTGCAAACTGGTGCTGGATTAAAACATGAAGACGCGGGACAGGAGAACGCGCATTCCCATATTCATGCAGTCGGATCATACTTGTAACTACTGCCTGCATGGAACACAGTCCTGGGGAACCAGCTGGATAAGGCCACTGGGCCTTCTTTCAGGGCACGCCAGAAGGACTAGCACCGTTGCCGGAGAACCAAGACTCGGGCAGCTCCGCATTACCGTCGACAGACTGAACGCCTATAGTATTGAATGCTGTCGGAAAAGCAGGGGAATCGGGGAGCATACAGCACTGCATAACATCTTCTGCACGAAATATAAAGAACAACGAACAGGATGGCCTCGAGTCACTCACCAAGTCGTAACAAGCACGGCGCCCGAGTTTCTAGCTTGCGTCTTGGGTTGCTGCCGTCACGAAATTAGACCCGCTAGAGTGACTGTTTTTTGGCGACAGACCTGTCGACGTAGTCACCGAGGCGATTGGAGATCAGGACCATGTATCCAAGTTGCTCGCGCGACCAATTCGTTGCGAGTACGCTTTCATACAGGTCCAGATCACAATGAGGCATCTACGACGTACGTTCTTTAGTGGGTATCACCCGGTTCAGAATGTCTTACCCATAGTACGGTAGGAGCATCCAGTGGATGCTTGCCATCCTATAAGATCAAGCAGGGATCAGCGGGAGCCCGAGATCTGGCTGGAAACGATGTCTACTTGCTTTGTTTTCGGAGAGAACGCGAAACCCAAGTTCTTGAAACAGAGCATTGTCTTCCTCTGAAAAAACCGGATCATAAATGGAGACGTTGCCATTTTCCTGCACCCGAATTATCCAACATGGTGACACTGCGCAAAGAGACCCACGATAGCAATTGACTTGCATATCTCGAGTAAAAAGGCTAGCTGAGCACGAGAGTTTGGCGAAGATGATGGGCTCCCGAGACCCAGACAAAGAAGTTGCGAAGGACACAAGGCATGGGCAGTTAAATGGTCTTGCAAAATTCCTATAAAGAATGTTACCAGGCGACGTAGTTAGCTGCCAGTTGAACGGACGTTGGCATTGAGCATTCCAATCGTCTTTAGCAAGCTCCTCTCTTGCACGTTCAACGGTGGTAAGAAGCGGTGGGCGTTCAGATTGAACCTTGTGTTTTCTTTTCTTTCGTGAAGCAACTGGTTTGAAGTCCGAATACTGGAAACTGGTGTCTAAGCTCATGAAAGGCGGCGTAGGAACAACAAAGTTGTGATGGTTCAAAGTGATGGCTGCCCGTTTGTGGTGGGCGGAAGGAAAAAAAGATTGTGTAGCTGGTCTTGGGGCCCGGGGCCAAACTACTAGTAACATAATGAACAGAAAAGCCAGTCGAGGGCATTGTTTCAACGTAAGATACATGTGCAGTAAGTAAGGTGCAGTACTAGTAGATATACACAATGCTACACAACGCTCGGATAACCAAAGAAAAAAAAAACAAGATGCGTAAGTAGATGATATACATTTGGAGTATTGGATGAATGCAGCTGACAACAAGATACAGATGATGGATAGACGGACAGAGTAAGAATGAAGGCAAGAATTGAGTTGGAGATATGCAATGCAAGATGAGACAATGCAGTAGCAAGATAGATGAGGGCTGGGAAGCGCTATTCTAGACGAGCCAATAGCTCGGCAGGACCATCATATGGTCGTCGAGGTACCAATACCGCAGCCCGCGGCGTGCCTTCTGCGCCTTCGTCAACGATTTCTTCTTTGAGTTCTTCTGTTGAGTATGGGCCTCCGCACCCTCAGCCTCGGCGATAGGAACAGGCGCTGCGAGATCACAAAGGCGCGCGAGCTGCACCCACGTCCCGCCTAAACCTATGTTGAGCACAAGCGTCTCCGCGACCGCGGGCTCCATGAGCAGTGTGATATCGTCCGCGAGGGGATCATGCGGCTTGAGCCCCCCGGGTCCAAGACTGGGGGCGGGAGCGGGAGCGGGCGATGCAGCGTCACTGCCGGCTTCGGGTGTATCGGAGGCGGGGGTGGCAAGTGCACCCACCGAGCTTCGCATGATGCGCGGTAGGTTCTCGGGCCCGTCCCATCCGACCCATGGGGCCATCACCACCCGCGCAAAGCGGCCCTCGAGCTCGCGCTCTACCGCCTCCGCAGCCCACTCTTCCCACTCTCCAGCTCCCGCGCCGGCTACAGTATTGGGGGATTTGGCCTCCACAGGCAGCACAACGCTCTTGATGCGCCGTACAGACCACTCGACGATACCCGGCGTGTGGGTAAGGGGGAGGGCGGTCGGGCCAAGGAGGGAGAGCAGGGACTCGCGCGGAGGGGCCGCCCATTCCGTTTCAAGTAAGGCGCCGTTGTCGGCGGTCTGGTCCCAGGAATCGGCGAAGGAGCAGGGGTCAAACGTGTCCGTAGCAGCGTCGGACGTGGGGACGTGGCTATCATTTTCACCGTCGGGAGCGTTCGCGCTCAGAAGAACATCCTCCGGCTTGATCACCTCGATGTTCTCTTCCTTGAGAATCGACTCGAACGCATTGTCGGGCTCTTCAGGGATCCACGCGTCAAGGGTGTCTCCGCGTGCGCCCCAGCAACTCTGTGCCGCCACGCTGAAGTGATCAGGGAGCTTTTTCGCGAGTTCAGAGGTAAGCGGCAGCTGCTTGGCCGCCGCGTCGATGATCTCAAGCGCATTTTTCAGGCTGCGCTCGGTGGTTTTGTCGGGAAGAACCTTGTTGCGGAGCAGGTAGTTGACGAAGAAACGTAGCAGATGCGGGGTGGAGACGAGGTTCCTATCGGCGCTGGGGTCGAGGTTCGTTAATGGTTAATATGTCGCACAGAAGGAGCGGACGCGTACTAGACGAAGCCTTGGTACGTCATGTACGACGACAGGAACACCTGGATTGCCCGTGCGGGGTTGTCGAGGAACGCGACGACCTTGTCTTCTTTGGTGGCGCGCGCCGTGTCCAGGAGCTTTACGATGTCCTCATTGTCTTCCACGATGGTAGGGGCTTTACCATAGAGGTCATAGGGTGCTCTTGGACGCAATTTCGGATGCCGCCTTTCACCAGGTCCACCCTGCCGAACGGACCTCGACTTGGAATCTTCGTCGTCGAATTCATCATCAGAGACTGCACCGTCCTCAGCCTCCTTTTCTGAGGCTTTCTGCCAGACTGGAGTAGTACCCAAAAGTCCCGCACAAATTCGAAACTGAAATTTTTATTAATCAAGGTTCGAAAAGGGAAAAAGAAAACCACAAACCTGGTCCCAAAGTACCTGGACGTTGGTACTAATGGGAGGAAACTTTCGATACCTGAGCCAAATGTGAACTATAAAATTGACCCGCTACAAGTCGAATACCTCTGGAAGTCCGAGGCAGCCTGATGAAGGCGATCGATCGGAGCGACATTACTGAAGGATCGTGTTAATAGGATCTAAGTCAGCCAGAGATCGCATACACATCGTAAGGGCCGTGGTTTCGCAGGTCCTCGCCCTCCTCCCAGTCCTGCCACCACTCCTTACGGAACGTACCCCGCATCTCCCTCTTCTTAGTGCGATTAGGATTGGTCTTTGAGATGTCCGTGTCGTGTTTCACGCGGAGTGGAACAGTCGGAATACCAAGACCGTCTCTTTCGACTTCATCCTCGCCTTCAAAAATCTGGATACCGTTTTCTTTGAAGTCTTTGAAGGGAACGATGATGACGCCCTCAGGGACTGAAGGGAACGGAGGGAAGCGATGCTTGAACTGTTTGACGGTCTCAGACGCGATTTCAGATTCTTTTAGATCTGGGACTTGGGTTGACATGGTTAACCGAAAGAGAAACGATGGGATAAAGTAAATTTGGAACTTTTCGCTTCACTGGGCGTAAACTACCGACGGGTCGTAGCGTAATGCATTAAACGCACTGTATCGCCCGCCTAGCTCAATCGGATAGAGCGTCAGACTTTTACGAAGGTCCGCCAGGCGGCGATCTGAAGGCTGCGAGTTCGACCCTCGCGGTGGGCTATTCCATCTTTTGCTTTCCCAATTTTTCTTTTTTCCTCCGCCCGCCAAGCCTCAACCTGCTTTGCAATTGCCAGCGACTACTTTTTGTCGTTGAGCGAACTAGTTGTTTGCTCTGGAACAAGGTGTCACGCAATCTACTACCTAGAGGAAATAGAGATGATTACAACCTGGTATACAAAAATTACAGAAATAATAGAAAGCAATATCGACGACACAGCGCAAAATCAAACACCGACCCTAGACAAAAGTCAGCAAAGAAATATATGGTTATCAAGACCGTCCACGAACCTATGCACCACCTTTTTCTGCCCCGAGAATCGAATTACCTCGCTTTTCTCCATCACAAACAAGGTCCGCTCTAGCGCGTGGCTCGAGTAACCCTGCTGGGTGACGAATTCCCGGACGAGACTCTGGTAGCTCGTACTCCAGCCAACAGGGAGCCTTCTCCGCAACTCCCGCTCTATCTTGACCATTTCTTCGTTCAGTTCTCCGCGAGAGAGACCATCAGCCGAGCCAGCCGAGACTGCGTCCATCGTAGAGAACTTGAACAGCCGGATGGCTTCTTCGACGTGGTGGTTTTGAACGACGGTGGAGAGGGTCATTTTTGCGAGCGACTCTGAGATGCGGATGATGGCTTCAAGCTGTCTGTCGGCCGTTCAATACGGTCGAAATAAATAAAAAACGTCCCGAGACAACTCACCGCACAGTGATTGGGATGGAACTCCGTTCGTCGTTGTCCCGCTCGACCTGCTGCACTTGCTTGCGCAAGCTGACAAAGTGACTGCTTAACATCTCCTGGGCCTCGGCGGACAACCGAGGAGCACATTTACTACGGTGGACATTTAGCGACAAGAAGTGAGCGCCTTTCAGACACGCGCATACCTTTTGCAATATGCGATGTACCGCTTCATGACGTCCAGGCTAAGTTCGTCAGCAGCCTTGTCGACGTTCTCCTCCGGCCGGCCCATATGGGTATTCATAACGTGTCTGGCGATCATCTGAAAGAGGATTTGAGTTAACAGTTGTCGAGGAGATGTATCAGACTCGCCTTGTCTCGCTGCTCATTATGCTCATCCCTTACGATGAAGATCATATCGAAACGCGACAAGATAGTTGTTTGGAAATCGATATTCTGCAGCGGCAGTTTCAGTACGCAAATAAACAACGAGGGGGGCGTCCATCGCACCTCGCCAGGGCTTCTACCCTCGTCATATCGCCCAAAGACGGGATTCGCGGCAGCGAGCACACTGGTCCGGGAGTTTAAAACAGTCGTGATACCAGCTTTGGCAATGGATATCGTTTGCTGCTCCATGGCTTCATGGATAGCGACGCGATCCTCGTCTCGCATCTTGTCGAACTCGTCGATGCAGACCACACCGGTGTCGGCCAAGACCATGGCACCTCCTTCAAGGTAAAACTCGCGCTACCGGACTTCTCAGCTGCGCATAAAACAATGGCGGGTGACGGCTTACAGATACCGTGTCCCGCTGGACAGAAGCAGTGAGACCGGCAGCACTGGAACCTTTCCCAGAAGTGTAAACGGCAATCGGGGCGACCTCGGGTAACGTGAGTATTAAGAAATCTCGAGACGAATAATTGAATCACCTTTTCGACAAATTTTAGCAGTTGACTTTTTGCCGTTCCTGGGTCACCCAATAGCAAAACGTTAATATCTCCTCGAAGTCTCATGCCGTCGGGAAGAATCTTTTTGGACCCCCCGAAAAGCAGACATGTTATTGCCTTTTTTATGTCTGCATCTCGTGTCAGATAGTGGTTAGTGACGAGGTAGAAAACGCACCCAGACTGCCGTAGATACTTGGGCCGACGCTTTTTGTGAACCGTTCGTAGAAACCTTCGCTTCTGGCCATTGCTCCAAACTCCTCCTCTTCTTCGGGAGTGAACTGGACGCCGAAGGGGTTGGAGCCAGAACCGCCCGTCGGTCCAGAAGATAGCTCGAGGTGAACGACCCGCAGGTACGGCTGGCGAAGAGCTGCAGCGCCTGCATTTTTCTGCGATGGAAATCAGCACCTTCTTAAGCTAATATGCGAAAAGGACAGACATTCTTGGCTGACTGGAACGTCGAATAGATACCAGTTGCAACTACTCGCGACCCGGGGACAACTTTCCCCGTCAGATGTCTGTCCACAGACAAGAGCATATGCCTGGGCAACTCTCCGACCGGCACCATATCGGGAGCCTCTTGGAGTTTGAGAGTTTGTTGATCGGCAAAAGAGGATTTGTTGTGAATGATGAGATACGGGTCGAGTGGGCAATCCACCTCCTTGGACCTTTTATTCTCGGCCGAAGCTTCGCAGGTACGCGGCAGCCCTCGATCCGAACCACCACCCACTCCGCCCATGCCGCCCGAGACCTCGATGATCTTGGGATTTCCGCAAGAACGGCACTGGAGGTGCAGCTTGGTTGCCCGCGAAGACAAAGTCGAAGCAGAGATGACGATCCCCGGGATGCGGACGAGTTTGTTCATGGTGTTCGCGGTGAGATCACGGAATTGCAGCATGTTGAGGCCGGAGCGAATGGTGACCTGAATCCCGGGAATGGCCTCTGCGGCGTCTTCTGCGTTTTTCCTTTTCTCGTCGTCCGATCTGCCCACACCTACGAGTGGGAAGAGGATCGAGCGCGCGGCTTTGGTGGCAGCACTCTCGAACTATGCACAAGAGATGAATTCAAAGCTCTAAAGAGCGCTAGTTTCACGTACGGAGGGAAGAGCAACGCCAGGAGTGTCCTGAATCGCGTGGGCCAACTCATCGTTATATAGACTAAGGTGACGGAGATCGACTTCAAGAATGCGTTGCTTCAAGAGCATATTTGCCCTCAGCTTATCTCTACGCGCCACCGTCAAATATCCGCACTGTAAACCCGCGCCTGTGCTCACCTGTAGATGAACTCGCCACCAAGACGATACTGGAGCAGAAAGTCGAGAAGAAGGCGCTCAGTTTCGGAGGGGGAGTCTGGGGAGACTGCTGCAGGGGGGTCCTGGGCAGCGACGGTGTACACCTGGGGAGTGTCGAAGTGGGACATGGTGAGCAGAGGAAAGGACGCGACGCGTGACGGCGTGACCGACGCGATTGATGGTGAGCACAGCCCCATCACACTGTCACTTGCGCGTCTAGTAGCTACACAATGGACACCGACGAACCCTCCGTCGTTCTCGCCTCGACCACCACCGCATCAGGACTATCCCTTTCTTTGTACCCGATCTTAGACTGTTCAAAGGGCGCTTCTGATCATTTGTTTGCAGACACCCTCTCCCCATCTTGAACATCTCTGAACACTTGACGAGATTAAAACTGCAGACCAATTCCAACTCTCCTTTCGGTCGGTGGCTGACTGCTCACGCGAGACTTTCATTAATCGTCTCACAGTCTTGGGAGCTCTCTTGGGGACGCAAAATGGCCGCGAGGTAGAGATCGTTAACACATTCGAGCTTGCTGTCGAAGCTGGCGGCGAACTCGTCGACCATGGGTTCCTAGTCTCCAGACGCGATCAGTGTGAGCATTCCCGGTGCCACACCACGCTCTTCTGACGGCGACCCTGTGCAGACAAACAGGTGTTTCCCTCGCTTGAGTTTATCGGCTGGTACACTGTCGCCCCGCTTCCGACCCCGCGCCACATCGCATTGCACGAACAAGTATGTTATGTCTATGCCTCGTTCATACCGCACAGTTAACCTTTATCCCGTGTCCAGTTTACAGGGTACTGCTCGACGCCACTGCTCCTCATCCTGCAGCCCTCGATCACTCTCGTCGCAAGCTCCGATGTCAACGCCCAGAACCTGCCTTTCAAGGCGTACGAACCCTCAATAGAACTCAGAGATCGAAAATCTCGATCGGTCTTCATCGAGGTCCCATACAATGTCGAAACAGGCGAGGCTGAACGTATTGCTGTCGATTGGACAGCGAGGGGTGGGGGAAGTGGAACTAGCTGTGCGCAGTCACTTCTCTTCCTCCATTGAAAATGGCTAACAATACATACTCTAGTGGAGTCGCATCTCCAAACCCAACGCGCGGCCGTAAAGATGTTGCACGACCGAATCATGGTACTCGTGAAATACGTCGCCGATGTCGTCGCGGGTAAGCCCTTCTTCCCGGGCAATGGCGCGCGCAGTCCTAACCCACTCCTAGGACAAGCGCCCAAAGACCACGCCACCCTCCGGTCTCTATCTGCCTTGATCGCGTCCCTGCCCGCGACCGAAAACAACGCGTTCCGCGAGGAATTCGAGACCGAGTACGAAGATGTCCAGCTCACCGCGTTCCTGTCGTCCCTCACGAAATCCGCTAACATATTGAACGACGTCAGTCTTTCAGTCCTTCTTCCTGCCTTGCGCTAACGGCCCGGCTCTTTCCAGCTCGTGGACAAACACATCGTGATGACGAGCGGCGGGGGCAGCGAACGCGGGCCTGGCGGGCCACGGAGGCGCGGAATGGGGATGGGGATGAATCGCGACAGGGACTGGGACCGCCATTGATTTGCGGTCGTTTCGTCGCTCACCTCCCATTTGCTTGTTGTATTTTTGCACCTCTGATTCAATATAAATACCAGTCAGAACGATATGCATTGTGTTGTATTGGTAGAAATGTGTGTACATTGGTGTGCGTAGATGGTGAGCAAATAAATAATGCACTATAAGTTAGGGTCGTGTCGGTCGGTTATGACCTCGTCTTTGCCACCGGCGAACCAGAGGAAGGCCGCCGGAGGCTCTTGATTTTCTTCCACAGACCGGGCGAAGAAGAAGACACGCTGGACGACAATGGTCCACTGGAAGATCCAGGTGATGAAGCAACGCTAGAGGAGACGGGTACTTCGAGCGGTTTCGACTGAGGTACAGCCAATGGCTTGGACACCGACGCCGGAACAGTGACAGGGACGAAGGGCGGGGGCAGCGGCACTACGTCCTCTAGGTTAGCACCTTTCGGGCTGCTGGCTGCTGGGCTCGCTGGAGAGGACATTGAACTACCGCTTGGCACGTCAAAGTCGGAAGG